TGCCCCGAAGAAAGCACGCCGAGAACTGCAACAGTCAGTACCAAGGATAGATTGGACATGGACGGAGCACATCGGCCTCGCGCACGAGTTGTTCGAGATCGACGTCCGCCAATTCCTCAAGAAGTCCTCCTTCACGCAGACAGGGGCGCGCCGCGTCCTGAACAGCGTTCTCGAAGGGCTCCAGTACATGCACGACAGGGGCCTCGTTCACTGCGACATCAAGCCCGCGAACATCCCGATGCGAGGATCGCCGCAGACGCGCGGCTGCTTCGAGAAGCAGGCGCTTGTATCACGTGAGCGTGGCGAATGGGATCCCGTCGCGCCGTGCCCAAAGAGCAAGCTGCAGTTCGACTGGCAGATCCCGAGTTCCTTCGAGGCGCTCGTCGTCGACGTCGTCGTCGTCGTCGCCGTCGCCGTCGTCGTCGTCGTCCACCTCCTCCTCGTCCTCCTCGTCCTCGTCGTCCTCGTCGTCCTCGCCGCCCGTCGTCGTCCTCGCCGCCCTCGTCGTCCTCGTCGTCCTTGTCGTCGTCCTCCTCGTCGTCGTCGTCGTCGTCCTCGTCGTCCTCGTCATCCTCGTCATCCTCGTCGTCCTCGTCGTCGTCCTCCTCGTCCTTGTCGTCGTCGTCCTCGTCGTCCTCGCCATCATCGTCATCCTCGTCATCCTCGTCGTCGTCGTCGTCATCCTCGTCATCATCGTCGTTCCTCCGACTAAGATCCGGAGTTGTCAGGGCTCACATGGAGCTCTAACGTAGTATGTTAGAGCCCCCAGGGAGCTGTAACATAGCACGTTAGGGCTCCAAGGGAGCTCTGACATGCCATGTTAGAGCTCCCTGGGAGCTCTAACGTGGCACGTGATACCACGTTAGAGCTTCCATGGGGGCTCTAACATGCTATGTTAGAGCTCCCATGGAGCTTTAACATGCCATGTTAGAGCTCCCATGGAGCTCTAACCTAGCATGTCAGATCTCCCCAGGGAGCTCTAACATAGCATGTGAGAGCTCCGGTGGAGCTCTAACATAGCGTGTTAGAGCTCCGATGGAGCTCTAACGTAGCGCGTTAGAGCTCCCATGGAGCCCCAACATAGCATGTGAGAGCTCCGACGACACCCTCATATACGAGGTCAGAGCCCAGCTTATCTCCATAGCCTTCATGTTAGGTCTCACACCGAGTTCTAACAAGGGAGGTTCCACCCTTCCCACGAGATGCCGTCGTCGTGCCCTCTATCCCGCCCTTCGCTCCAGGGGGAGCTCAGTCGCCGTCGCTCCCCTCTCCTCCATCCGCCCCTCTCCGCAGGTGGTGCTCGGCGACCTCGGCCGCGTGGGGACGGCGGACCCCCACGGCAGGTTGAAGAAGAAACTGCGCTACAGCCCGACCTGCGATGACCTTGGAGTACGCGCGCCCGCTTACAGAGCGGTGGACGCTTTCTTGGGGAAACAACGCTACTCAGAGGACCTGGACACGTGGTCCATCGGGTGCCTGATGGCGGAGTTGTACACGCGCAAGGTGTTGTTCCAACCAAGCCTTGCGGCGCGCTCGGGCATCCAGGGGGGCGCCCGAAAGACTTCGCGGTTTTCTGCAGGGAGGTCTTGGGGGTCCCAGGCGAGGAGCCAGGGTCGGGAGACTTCTACAATTACGAGGACCAGGAACCCGCCCCGTGGCTGGACAACCTGCCTTTCTTTGAGAAGTGGTTCAAGCGGTCGGGCGAGGATTGGCTAAAGGCTGAAACAGCGAAGGCACTCGACGGCCGAGGACGCTGGCCCGTTGGCGAACTTGCAGACTGCCCCCCAGACTTGTTGAAGGCCGCCGAGAGCTGCCTGCTTTGGCACCCTGGCGCCAGAGCGACAATCAGTCGTCTAAGGGTTCGTCGCTTCCTGCAGCCGGCTGGCGCCCAGCTCGACGTGCGCATCTCCATGGCGCAGGAAAAAAACGGCGCGGGCACGATGGTGGAGGCGGAGCTGGACCCAGACTTGCCCCGCTTGTTGCAGAGAGACCCGCGCCGGCAGAACTTGGCCGAGGATCGCCTGAACACGGGGGCAACCGAGGCGACGAGGCGGCAAAGGGCTTGAAAACAGAGGTCGCAGGCATCGTGGACGACGAAAGCCCCCCGAAGTGCCGCAGCCTCAACAAGGGCGGGAATTTGCAGATCACCCCCTCGCCCCACGTGGCCGCCTTCGTGCGAGCGCTGCGGAAGAAGATGCGCCCGCGGCTGCAACAGCTGGGGGACAAAATGCGCGAGGCTGTCAAAGCCGACGGCGTGCCACCTGCCCATCGTCGAGCAGAACGGAAAGCCCATCATGACAGAGAATTTCGCCGACAACGCGTTCGCGTACGCATCGATCCAGCTCATGCAACCAGGCGCACGGGGCGATGGTTGGCACACAGATGGCGGATGCTCCCTGTTGCACGCGGCCGTGACGATTTTCGGGACGCGCTCCGTGCAAGTGAGGATCCCAGGGGTCCTGGGAGCACATGATGGGGCGTCACCCTCGAGCACGGCCTCCTGTGGAAGGGCCGTCACCCTCGAGCAAAAGCCTGGGTCCTTCTACATGGGCACCCTGTCCTCCCTCGAGCACAACGTGCACCACCGCGCCTCCGCGGACTGCCAGGGCTGTTTTGCGACCCACCACGAGCTGCAACAGCGCGTAGACGACAGCAGGCTGCAGATCGCCGCCATGATCCGCTCCGACGTCTTTCGGGAGTTCAGGGCGCGCAGGATCGACGCCACGCCTGGCCCGCCGGAGTTCTCCAACGTCGTCAACCACGTCGTGGCCGATCACCTGGCACGGGTCCCCGTGGCGCTGCCCGACCTCACGGAAGTGCTTGACGAAATGCGGTGGCCCGCTTCCACGGAGGCTGTGGTGCTTTCCGATTCCGATTTAGGCTGCAACAGTATCCAAATCCGATTAGACTGCCACAGTACTCAGCACGGCCCGCGCAGTCCGAAAGAAGGTTATCGTCATCCTCATTATCATCAGCATCGTCATCTTCATCGCCATCATCATCGCAATCATCGGCTTCATCATCATCGTCATCATCACCATCATCATCAACATGTTCACGCCGCCATCATCGTCATGCGGGTCTTAATTTAATCATCATCATCACTACATGATGATGACGATGACGAGGAGATGATGATGGATATTATGATGATGACGATGAGGAGAAGACGGTGGTGATGATGGCGATGACGCGGACGATGATGAATATCATGACGACGATGATGACGATGATGATGACGATGATGCAAAAACAGGTTGAGTCGGTCGAGTCAGAAAAAAAACGCCCTAAATCATGCCAGTATATATATATATATATATATATATATGCGAAAATTACGACGATGCTGATGAGGAAGAGGAGGTGGAAGAAATGGAGCAGGAGGAAGGAACAACATGGGTAGGAGGGCGAACGAAAAAGGGGCCAGAAGCTCCTTGGATGCCTCTCGGAGTCTCTTGCGCCAACGTTTGGGCGCTTTTCGGTGGCCTCATGAGATATCTTTGGGGTCGCTTGGCGGTCCTGCGGGGTTTTTGGGCGTCTTGTGTGCCTCGGGGGGGCCTCCGGGAACGTCTGTGGGCATCTTGGGTGCCTCGGGTGTCCTTTCGGCGCCTTTTCAGGGCCTCTTGGGGGTGTCTTGGGAGCCTCTTGGGGCCGTCTGGGCGCCTGTTGGGGCCCTTTTGGGGCGTTCTTGGGGCCCTTTTGGGGCGCTTTTGGGGCCACCTTGGAGGAGATCGATCAAAGAAGGGGGGCTCATTAATTGGCGCCCCCCCCTCGGGAGCCTAACAATCACCACTTGGGCCCCTCGTGGGGCGATTTTTGGGCGAGTTTGGCCCTCTTGGGGCTGTCTTGGGGCTCTTTTGGACCTTTCGTTGGGCCCTATTGGGCCTTCTTGGAATCGTAGCGAGGCTTCGGAAGGCCATCGGACACGAAATGGCGAGAAGACAACACACATCGGTTCCCTGGGTTTGGGAAAGATTTTGGCTTCTTCGGGGCCTCTTTGGGGAGCCTTTGGGCCACTTGGAGCCGTCTTGGAGTGGCCTTGGGGCCTCTTGGAGCATTTGGGGTGCCACCTTGAGTGAACATGCGTTATCTTGAGCCAGCTTGGAGGTTTTTGTTGGACTTTCTGAGGCCCTCTTGGAACCATCCTGGGCCATCTTGGACGCCCCAATGCGTCGCGAAACGCCCCGTCCAGGTGCAGGAAAAGGGGGTGGGGGGAGGGACAAACCCCTCCCCGAAGGGGAAGAAATGGGGGTTGGAAGAGGAAACACCCTAGACCACCTACACCCAGATGGCTGGAGGGATTAATGTCAGTGTGTGTGGGTGTGTGTGTGGGTGTGTGTGTGTGTGTGTGTGTGTGTGTGTGTGTGTGTGTGTGTGTGTGTGTGTGTGTGTGGTGTGTGTGTGTGTGCGTGCGTGTGCGTGCGTGCGTGCGTGCGTGCGTGCGTGCGTGCGTGCGTGCGTGCGTGCGTGCGTGCGTGCGTGCGTGCGTGCGTGCGTGCGTGCGTGCGTGCGTGCGTGCGTGCGTGCGTGCGTGCGTGCGTGCGTGCGTGTGTGTGTGTGTGTGTGTGTGTGTGTGTGTTTGTGTTTGTGTTTGTCTGTGTGCGTGTGCGTGTGCGTGTGAGACTGCAGTGCAGGTAGTAAGAAGAAAACGCGGAAAGCCGTGTGCGAAAGTCCGGTTGGCGTGTTCAATCCGCGGCTGAGGATTGTTGGAGAGATCTCTTGTCTTCGGGGCACAGACGACAAGGGGGAGGGCTGGGGGCTGTACAGGCAGCTGGTTTTTGCCACGCCGCCAAATACATTGCCCGATGGCGGAACAGCCTCTGGCTCCCCCCCGCGCTGGTTCAGTCAGTTGCGTTTCTGATTCGTTACGCCTTCCTTCAAATACTGCCCCCCCTTGTGCTCATCCCGAAAGTAATCATCACCGATCGTGGGCCCAGGACTGGGCTGACCAGGTAGACAGTGCGAGCAGATATTGGCACCATGCAAGGACCACCGCGACCATGACCACCAGAGACACGATCTCCCAAGAGACCACCAATCCAGGGTGCCGCCTAGCCTCGCCACAGCCGCCACGGTCGCCCTCGTCTCTATTTGTTCTTCTCTTTCATGCCTCACCTCCTCCGCCCTCTCTTGCTCCTATTCTGCGCCAGGCGGAGATAGGAGGGTGACATGGAGATGGAGATGAGGCAGTGCGAGATGGAGAGAAGATGGGAGGTGAGGAGGGAGGGAGCGACGGATAAGGGAACACCTCAGGTCAGGGCATCTCTGAACCCAGAAATGCAAGGATGTCACAGGCGAAACGGGCCGGAACCAAATTAGGTCACGGTATTTGGGAGCTCAGAGTTGCAAGGACGCGTCAGTGGAAAGGGCCAGACCAACGCTCGCGCGACATCTTGGGAGTTCATAGTTGCGAGGATGTCTCAGGCGAAAGGGGTTGGACCACCTCAGGTCACGGCATAGGATCCCCATACTTGTGAGGATGTCTTAGGCGAAACGGGCTGGACCACCACAGGTCACAGCATCTGGGAACCCGGAATCGCGAGGATGTCTCATGCAAAAGGAGTCGGACAACCTCTGGTGCGGCATCTGTGAGCCACGAGATGCCACGCAACGGGTGGTCCTGTCAGTTTCGCCAGAGACATCCTCGCAGCTCTTGGCCTGGGGCCTTTCTTGCTTGAGACCTCATCGCAACTCTGGGATCAGATATGTCCTGAGCTGTGGCGGTCCTCGATTCACCCGAGACATCCTTGCAACTCAGGGCTTTTTGTTGTTTTTGTATTGTTTCCTGTTTGGCAAGCATCGAAGGAATCTGCGCATCCCCCTTGTAACCCGACGAAGGGTTGTGACGCGCAGTTCTGGTAAATGGTTGAGGCAATTGTACTTTCAAAATGATGTTCCACTGGGGGGCAGCTGGCGCACCCGCTGCGGGGAAGCCGATTCGCTGCCGCGGCGACGGCGCGCGGAGAGCAGCGTCGCCGTTGTCTAGGCGATGCCTGAGACGGCGTTGAGCCCGCGCAAGGAGCAGGCAGAGCATTGGGGGGCACTCCCTGATTTCAGCGCTGCGCCAGTGTAGAACTCCCTGGTAGTCTCCTTGGCGGCGGCGGCGTTGACGACGTCGGCGAGGACGAAGAGCACCGTGGCAGCGGCGACGGTGAAGGCGATGACGTCTACGATACGACGAACGCGGCGACAGCGACGAGTAAGATGACGACGCGACAACGACGACGGCGACGGTGGCTGGGTCAACGAGGGCGAAGACGACCACATCGACGGCGACGACCGCAGCGACGGCGGCGGCGATCGCGACGGCGATGGCGACGACGACGGCGCCGACGATAACCACCGCTGCGGCGGCGACGGCGATGACGTCGACGGCTAATGTAGACCCTACGTGGACCCTACGTGGAATCCGGCGACGGGAGGGAAGGGCAGGGGGAGAGAATGAGGAGGTAGCGAAGAGGACGAAGGCGATGTAGAACACGAGGAGAAGGACCGCACAACGACGACGACGCCATCATCGGAAGCGGCGGCGGCGACGGCGGCACCGACGATCAAAGTGACAGCGGCGCGAGCGGCGAAGATGCCAACGACAACGACGACGAGAACGCCGTCGGCGTTGGCGGGGCCAGCGACGACGACGACAACGACGACGACCATGCCGAGAACAATGGCGACGACGACGGCGGCGAGAACGGCATCGGTGGTGACGGCGACGACGAGGACTGCAGTGGCATCGGCAGCGGTGGCAGCGGCGGCCGCGACGACGTCTGTTTCGACGGCGGCGACGACGAGGATAGCGGTGGTGATGACGACGACGACGACGCCGACGGAGACGACGACTACGGCTACAATGCCAACGCCGACGACGACGACGACGCTACAGCAACGACGACGACGATGACGGCGGCGACGACGACGACGACGATTCTGGCGACGAGGAGTCAACTCCAGCGCGACAACTGGGAGCACAGAGTTGCGAGGATGTGTCAGGCGAAACGGCATGTCGGAGCCCAGAGTTGGGAGGATGTCTCTGGCGCAGTGGGCCAGACCACCTCACGCATGGCACCTCGGAGCCCAGAGTTGCGAGGAAGGCCGCAGGCATAATAGGCTAGACCACCCAGGTCTCCAAGTCCAGAGTCGCGAGAATGTCCCAGGAGGTGCGAGGATGTCTCAGGCGAGCTTGACCAGACCACTTCGCGTGCAGCACGTTCGAGCCCCAGGCGTGCGAGGATGTCTCAGGAACACACTTGGCTGGACGACCTGTCGCGCGACATCTGTGAGCTCCAAGTGGCGAGGATGTATCAGGCAAAATTGGCTGGACCACCTCAGGTCCAGACATCTCGGAGCCCTGGCGAGGATGTCCCTGGCGAAACGGGCCAGACCACGTTAGGTCACGGCATCTTTCGGCCCAGAGTTGCAAGAATATCTCAGGCGAGACGGGCTAGACCACCTCAGATCAGGGCATGTCTGAGCGCAGAGTTATGAAGATGTCTTTGGCGAAACGGGCCAGTCCACTTTGCGCGCGGCGTCTCGCTTCGAGTATGTTTAGGGCGAAATTGGCCAGAAGACCTCGCGCGCAGCATCGTTGGGCTCAGCGATGCGAGGGTGTCTCAGGCGAAACTCGCTTGACCACCTCAGGTCTTGGCATTTCCAAGCCCAGAGTTGGGAGGATGTGTCCGGCGATATTTGCCAGACCACCTCAGGTCAGAGCATCTCTCAGCTCAGAGAAGTGAGGGTGTCTCACGCGAAAGTCTGTTCTGAAAGGCGGCGAAGGTAATTAGCAGTGTGGACGAAGCTACTGTCTCCCACAACTAGCAGCACAGCACGGCACATCCGAACAGAACCCCAGTCAGCACAGCTGTCAGAGGAATCAAGCGAACGGTATCCAAAGCCGCCTCTGGCGCGTGCCAGTCGAGTGGTGGTGGGGATCAGGTTACGTTCAAGCTGCGAGATGCCCTGACGTGAGGTGCTCTGGTGCGTGTCTCCTGATACGTCCTCATTCCTCTGTGTTTCAAGATGCGTTTCGCGAGGTGCTCACGACTGAGACATCCTTGGAACCCCGGGCTCCCAGATGTCCTGACTTGAGGTGCGGTGGCCCGTTTCGCTTGAGACATCAGGCCCGTTTCGCTTGAGACGTCCTCGGAAGCCCGGAAAACCAGAGCAGATCACATTTCTTCTATTCGCGTCCCAGCCGAGCGAGTTAGAGTCCAACGCACTGGCGTCAGGTGGCGTCGACTTACCACATCTTGGGCAAACCTGTGAACTACCGAGTGGCTTCGAGTTGCCGCCACCCGTAGCACACCCGCCTCTGGGACGGGGAACGGTGCGGTCAGCTCTTGCGCACCGTGTCCACAGTCCTTGCTGGTGTGGCGGTCCTGGCCACCTCCCATCGCCAGACACGTGTATCACCAATGCTTCCGTGGAGGCGCCTCGCCGGGAGCTTGGAAGAACTCGCCTGTCTGGGGCTGCGCCTGACCGGTACTCCTGGCGGTCTGCCCTGGGTCGCCGCGGACCTGGTCAGGCCGGCCTGCAGCGAAGCACCCCACAGGAAGCAGTGTTGCCATACGTTGGGCTGCCACCTGGACCTTGACGGAAAACGCTCCTTTTTGCTTCCGTCCTTGCCTCCCTGCGGCGAGCAAGCAACTTTTTTTTTGTTCCAAGGGGGCTGCGCATTCGGGAAAGGGGTTTCTGCGGGGTTGTTGGGCTCGGCTCGTCTGATCGGTCGGTCCTAGCACGTTTTGCTGGGTTTGCTCGAGCGCAGGTGCCCTGTTCCAAGGATCGGGGTCTGGCACTCACACCCCCTCACCCTTTTTTTCCAACCATCCGTCTGTGTCTGGTCCTCTGGTTCATCATCCTGCACCGCGCGTCTTTGCGGTGCCCCCCCTGCACAGGTTCGGCGTTTCACAAGAAAGGTGTTCCGCGTGCCTATGTCAATCCGCTTCCCTTCGGGGGGGGACGCGCCCGGACAGTGCTCCTGGCGGCCATCCCTTGTTCGCCGCAGACTTGGCCAGGCCTGCCTGCAGCTCCACGCAGCAACCCACAGGAGGCATATATGATCCTGGGCCTGTGGGCAACCCCCCCGGGATGGAATAGGTCCGAGGGGTCCACGCCCCCCCGCTGATGGGATGGGGGGGGGGACGACCACGACGACGACGGCGACGACGATGACGACGCCGACGGCGACCACGACGGCGACGACGACGACTACGACGGCGACCGCGACGACGACGACGACCACGGCGACGACGACATTGACTACGACGACGGCGACTACGACGACGAACACGACGGCGGCGACGACGACGACGACGACGCCGCCGCCGCCGCCGCCGACCTCTGGAGCCCTCCGACGACGGCGGCGGCGGCGGCGACGATGACCTCCAGAGCTCTCCTGGAGCACCACAGTACCACGGCACACACGCCACGCCCACAGCACCACACCACGCCCAGGGGGGGGGGGGACCATTGCGCGGGGGAGGGGGCCCGATGGCATCAGCATGAGGGGGAGGCCCAGACCCTGGATCATACTTTGCCATACGCTGGGCTGCCACCTGGACATTGGGGAACCACACACACCTTTTCGCTTCGAGTCCTCGCTTCCATACGGCGAGGAAGCAGAGGAGGGCCAGTCGGCTACATTCGCCCCTCTCCTCCCGTCTGTCACGAGACCGCGGTGAGGATGGGAAGGACGCGGAAATATTGGAAGGAGGGAGCATGGTTGGAGGTGGAACGAGGAGGGGATGAAGGGGATGAGGGAAATGGAAGGACGCTTGACGCTCTCCCGCGATTCAAGTGTCCGACAGGGAGGAGAAAGGAGGAAGGAACGAGTCGGCGCGCACAACCGATTTTTTGAAGGCGTATGTGGTACCACGTATTTTCCACGTTGCCTGGGAGGGGGGTCTTTGGGCCCCTTCCCCAAGGGAGGAGAGGGCCAGCGCAGCGGCGAGAGCACGACTCTCAAGCACAGAGGAAGTGTCCGGCGGGAGCTGGAGCAAGTCGAAGTCTCAAGCGTGAGAGTGGTGAGCATGGGGCCAGGAGGAGGCTAGGTTTACCTGCGGGGGCGCGAAGATAATCGCGTTTACGCGCGTCGCTGTCTGGGCCAGAGCGGCTGCCATTCTCCTTGGGGGCGGCGCAAGGACGCGACGGCGATGATAGTGGACGTTGGCAGCGCATACATACATATTGAAGTCGTTCTTCTTCTTCCTCACAGCAGAGGAAAACGAGCAGATGACGAGGGGGGGCGGATGGAAGAGGAAGGAATTTGGTGCTGTACGAGTGTTCGATGGATCTCGAAGTGGACGTCACGGCCCCAGCGAAAGCCAGAGCAGGAAGGCAGAGAGAAGCTGGCGGAAGTAGGAACTGCGCCCCCCCAGATATGTTGTTTGGGGATGTTCAGGGTTTTTGGCAAAACGGGGCCCGAGTAGATGGGGATCGAAGTATCGCCCAGCATCGCCGACGCATCGGCCATGCTGTTCGATCTGGGCTCTGATTTCTGACATCCTGACGTCGCCGATGCATCGGCGATGCGGTGCGATCCTTCGAATCCCATTGTTCTTGCTTCATTCAAGGTGCCTCGGGAAGCTTGCTTTTCCAGCAGGTCCGGGACGCGGAGCGACAGGCAGGGCCATCTTGGGGGTATTTTCGCGCTTTCCATTTGCCCCGTTCTCACATCTCCCGGGTGGGGAGCCCATCGTCCTGGACCTCAGGAGGCGGTGGACACGAATCCAGTCGCCCCCCCCCTGTGGTGCCCCGATATCTAGAGTGCAGCTCCTCTCCCCCCTGGGGGGAGGGGGAGGAGAAGGAGAAGAAGGAGGAGGAGGAGGAGGAGGAGGAGGAGGAGAAGAAGGAGAAGAAGGAGGAGGAGGAGGAGAAGAAGGAGGAGGAGGAGGAGGAGGAGGAGGAGGGGGGGGCTGGGGCTCTTGCACAGTCGAACGTCCCTGGGCGGTGTGTGTGTGTGTGAGCGCTCCTCCGTTGCCCTTCTGTGGCCCCGTGCCGTGGACGGCTCCCCCTGCGCCCCCCTCCGCGCCGGCACCCGCGGCAGGCTCCACCGCTCGGGCACGCACCTCTTTGCCCACCGCATCCGGCGCACGCTGTCCTCGCTGGCGTCGCCCCTCGGCGGGTCTGCCACGGGGCGTGGGGGTGCCGGGCTCCGTGCCGATGCTCGGGCAGGCGTCCTCCTCCTCCTCCTCCTCCTCCTCCTCCTCCTCCCCCCTCCTCCTCCTCTCCTCCTCCTCCTCCTCCTCCTCCTCCTCCTCCTCCTCCTCCTCCTCCTCCTCCTCCTCCTCCTGGGAGAAGGGCAGGGCCAGGGCCATCGTCTTGCGTTTGGAGGGGCCACCGCTGGACGCATCAGGAGAGCCTGGGCCGGATTGGTCCTATCGGGTCTGCTGCGCGAATGCGGCGATGCGGGGGAGGAAAAGCGGGTGCGGGAGCAGGCGGAGGAGTGCAGCAGGAGAATCGCCGCATTGGGAGGATCGTCGCAGCTCGAAAGGAGCGGGAGGGTGAGGATCAGGAGGGCCACGGCAAAGGGCGAGCGGGAGCAGCAGGGGCAGGACGAGGACGATGGGGAGCAGTCAGGAGGATGAGACGGTCGAAAGTAAAGACGCTGAAGTACTGAGAACCGTGGGCCCAGGATGGGATCTTGTCTTCGGGCCGCTCCTCAGATCCAGGTCCGGGAACCAGGGCTGGGACCCTATTCGTTTCCGAGGCCAGTCGTAAGCAGAAAGCCGCATGGATCCATACTCAGAATTCCATGTGATAGCACGATGACTGTAGTAGCAGCAGCAGAGGTGCGACGCTCGCGGCCAGGGTTGCACATGCGCGCAATTGCCAGATGCTGGGCTCCCAGCTCAATGCATTACGCGGCGAGTGATGCAGCAAACGTTCCGTGCTCCAGGCTCTTCTTGCACGCCTTCGCTGTTGTGCAGGATCTTGACCAGGAGGGTACCCTACGGGGCGCCAGACGCAGCAAGATCCAAGATTCGCGGGCCAGGGGTAGGAGACAGAGAAGAGATGTGATAAGAGGGAGAGAGGACGCTGGAAGGGGAGGGAGGGAGAGAGGCGTCAGGAGTACACTCCACGAGTAGAGGAGCAGGTTTAAAAGGAGGGAGAGGGGTCGCGGGATTAGAAAGGACAAGGAAGGGAGACAGGAGGACGAGAAGAAAGAGCAGGAGGACGCGCGTAGAGACGAGAGGAAGCGCGAGCAGAAGGATGGGCAGGGACATGAGCAGGAGGCGGAGGATGATGATGAGGAGGCGAAAGAGGAGGAGGAGGAGGAGGAGGAGGAGGAGGAGGAGACGGAACAGAGGAGGAGGAGGAGGAGAAAGAGAAGGAGGAGGAGGAGGCCAAATTGTGTAGACAGATGCAATGTCAGGTGTCAATAACAAATGGTGCCCCCCACCCGAGGTTTATGAATAAACCCTACAGGGCGTGACATGTTTTTAATCACGCACGCCAGTGGGCCATCGCGGGAGCTGCCGAGGGGATCGTGTACCCCCCTGCGCGGAAGCCTCAAACCAGCTGATTTCCTTGACGAAGTTGTCATATGGATCTCCTAACAACCGACGCGATGATTTAACCCTCAGGTAAATTACCGACGCGTAACAATCGTCGTCGTGGTCAACGTCGTTGTCGTCGTCAGTTGTCGCCGTCGTCGTCGTTGTCGTCGTCGTTGTCGTCCGCCGTTGGTCGTCGGTCGCCGCCGTCGACGACAGCAGCGGGCCTACGCACGCAGCACCCCCCCCTGGCCCTGGAGCATCCGCAGTCCTTCGTCGTCGCGTGGCCGTCGTCGTCATCGTCGTTGGCGTCGACGTCGACATCGACGTTGTCCGTCGTCTGTGTTCGTCGTCGCCGTCGTTGTCGACTGTAGCGTGCCTACGCAGCACACGCACACCCATGGTGGGGGCATCCGCGGTGCGTCGTCGTCGTGGTCGACCTACAGTAAGCCTACGCAGCAGAACACCTCCCATGGGGGCATCCGCAGCGCGTCGTCGTCATCCGACGTCGTCGTCGTCAACATCGTCGTCCGTGTCGTCGTGGCCGTCGTCGTGGTCGACTATTGACTACTAAAGTGGGCCTCCCCTGAGCATCGCCGTCGTCGGCGTCGTCGTCCTCGTCGTCCGTTGTCGTCGTCGTCGACTGCAGCTCGGCTACGCAGTACCCCCACCCTTCAATGGGGGGCATCCGACGTTCGTCGTCGTGGTGGGACATGTTGCAGTGGAGGAGTGTGGGTGGGGATGGGGTGGAGGTGGACAGGGGAAACGAGGAGCCCCCCACGGGTGTGTGTGTGTGTGTGTGTTGCACAGGCCCGCTGCAGTCTCGACGACGACGACGACGACGACGACGATGACGACATCGACTACATCGGGCCTGTGCACTCCCCACACCCCCATGGACCATTTTTAGTGCGTCGTCGTCGTCGCCGCCGCCGCCGTCGCCGCGCTGGCACCGTCGTTATTGTCGCCGTCGTCGTCGTAGGACATGGTATAGGCGAAGGGGGGGGAAGGAAATCGCGGAACCGTGGCCGCCTCCCTCAGCCGTTCCTCTCCTTTCTGTTTGTTTGTAGCTAGGACAGCGTCGCCCGCCAGCCGTGAGGCGCCTATTCATTCCGCCTCCTCTTGTTTCGTGCCTGTGGCCATTTGGGCCCAGCCGCCCTGTTGTAGCGGAAACGTTGTTGCTCCTCCGCTGAAGCGGCGCCGTTTGCGTCGCGCTTGTCGCTTTCCAGTTTGCGGCCTGCTGTCGGAGCGCCGTAGTGTGTGTCCATCTGGTGGGCTCCCCCAGCGGTTCGCCTGAGCGGGGAAAGCAGCTTTCAAATCAGGCGCCTGGAGCCTGTTAGTCAAAAGCTGACAGTCGATGGAGGTGTTGGCGAAGGAGGAAGAGGAGGAGGACAAGGAGGAGGAGGAGGAGGAGGAAAAGGAGGAGGAGGAGGAACAGGAGGAAGAGGATGACGAGGAGGACGAGGAGGACGAGGAGGAGGAAGAGGAGGAGGAGGAGGAGGGGGAGGAGGAGGAACGGGGTGGGGAACGGCGATGGCCGAGGGGCGCGCGCCGCTGCCCAGGTCCCTGGAGAGGCGCGCCCGGTGCTGCCCTGCGGCGCTTGGGTGGATCTGTTGCTACCCTTGGGGGGGCAGCGGCTCATGGGGGGGGGCTTCCCTTGGGGGCTTCCCTTGGGTGGATCTGTTGCTTCCCTTGGGTGGATCTGTTGCTTCCCTGGGGGGGGGGGGCCTTGCACTGCTCATGTCAGTCACGCGCGGAAGGGGGTATGGGGGAGGAGGGGGGGGCTTCTTAAAAGCACCCCTGCTTCTTAGAAGGCGCGGGCCTCCTCCTCGGCGCCGTCACTCCTCGGCGGGCCAGAGCGCTCATGTCGGAGGGGGGGCGCTTCTTGAAAAGCACCCCTGCTTCTTGGAAGGCGCGGGCCTCCTCTGCAGATGTAAGGCCGGCGCCCTCTGAGAAGCAGCCTCCTCCTAAGAAGCCTTGCCCCCCCCTCCCACGCTGCCCCCGTCTGCGCGCCGGCAAGCATGGGTGGGCGTGGATCGAAGGAGAAACAAGGGATCCGCGCTGGAGCCCCCCTGGCGCCTCCCCTGGCGCGCTCCGCGGCCCAGGGAGGGGTTCCAGTGCAGATCCAAGAGGTGCACGCGTACCGTCCACAGGTTGTGTGTTCCTCCTATCGACCCCAGAATTCGCCACGCCTACGAGCGTGCAGGTCTCCCATCGGGGGGCCTGTCGCCGATGTGACGGCGATGTATTGCCGATTCAAGTTCGAGGCTTCCCTCCCTGCGCTGGTTCCCCCTATCATTCTCCGTCGTTCAGTCTCCCTTCCTCCTTCCCTCTTCCTTTCTCGCTCTCCTTCGTTTTTTCCCAACCATCCTGTGGTGTTGGGTCCTCGTTTTGAAGAGACGGTGCCCCGCGTTCCTCTCCTCTCCTCTCCTCCTCCTCTTCCCCCTCCTCCCTCCTCCCATCAGCATCATCATCATCATCGTCATCATCATCATCATCATCATCATCATCACCATCATCATCATCATCATCATCATCATCATCATCATCGTCATCGTCATCACCCACCATCATCGTCATCATCACAATCATCGTCACACCTCTCACGCGTTTCGTGGCCCCATAGGGAGCTCCACCGAAGGCCCCAGTGCTGCTGCCCGCATGCGTCAGCCACACCAAATTCGGCATACCCCTCACACGTTTCGTGGCCCCATAGGGAGCTCCACCGAAGGCCCCAGTGCTGCCGCCCGCCCGTCACCGTCACACGTTCGTGGCCCCATAGGGAGCCCCAGTGCCGCCGCCCGCATGCGTCAGCCACACCCAATTCGGCACACCCCTCACACTTTTCGTGGCCCCATAGGGAGCTCGACCGAAGGCCCCAGTGCTGCCGCCCGCATGCGTCAGCCACACCCAATTCGCACACCCCTCACACGTTTCGTGGCCCCATAGGGAGCTCCACCGAAGGCCCCAGTGCTGCCGCCCGCATGCGTCAGCCACACCCAATTCGGCACACCCCTCACACGTTTCGTGGCCCCATAGGGAGCTCCACCGAAGGCCCCAGTGCCGCCGCCCGCATGCGTCAGCCACACCCATTCGGCACACCCCTCACACGTTTCGTGGCCCCATAGGGAGCTCCACCGAAGGCCCCAGTGCCGCCGCCCGCATGCGTCAGCCACACCCAATTCGGCACACCCCTCACACGTTTCGTGGCCCCATAGGGAGCTCCACCGAAGGCCCCAGTGCTGCCGCCCGCATGCGTCAGCCACACCCAATTCGGCACACCCCTCACACGTTTCGTGGCCCCATAGGGAGCTCCACCGAAGGCCCCAGTGCCGCCGCCCGCATGCGTCAGCCACACCCAATTCGGCACACCCCTCACACGTTTCGTGGCCCCATAGGGAGCTCCACCGAAGGCCCCAGTGCTGCCGCCCGCATGCGTCAGCCACACCCAGTTCGGCACACCCCTCACACGTTTCGTGGCCCCATAGGGAGCTCCACCGAAGGCCCCAGTGCCGCCGCCCGCATGCGTCAGCCACACCCAATTCGGCACACCCCTCACACGTTTCGTGGCCCCATAGGGAGCTCCACCGAAGGCCGCAGTGCCGCCGCCCGCATGCGTCAGCCACACCCAATTCGGCAC